GTCTCAAACATGTAAAGAGCTTAGAACAAAGCCTGGTGTGGAGTGAGTGCTATTGTCTTTTTCATTTAATGGCATTTCTTGGCAACCTTTCCTTTCCACTCTGTATAGATCTATTTTGCAGAACTGTTTTATTATGAAATATTCCAGGCATTCAAAAAGGCGGGCATAGAAATAAAAAAAAACACCACTTAGGCAAAAGGTGGAAACAACCCACATGTCCATCAAGAGATGAATAAACAAATAGAAGTGGTGTATATATACAGTGTAATATTATTCAGTCAACAAGGAATGAGCCTTGGCTGGTGTGGCTCAGTGGATTGAGCGCCAGCCTGTGAACTGAAAGGATGCCGGTTTGAATCCTGGTCAGGGCCTGTGCCTGGGTTGCAGGCCAGGTCCCTGTTGGGGGCGTGCAAGAGGCAACCAATCAATGTATCTCTCACAGGCTGATCTTTCTCTCCCTCTTTCTCCCTCCCTTCCTAGCTCCCTAAAAATAAGTACATTTAAACATGAAAAACAAGAAACGAAGTTCTGACGCATGTGGATGAACCTTGATAACATTATGTTAAGTGCAACACGCCTGACACAGAAGGACAAACCCTACGTGGTCCCACTTACATGGGGTCCCTAGAGGAGTTAAATTTAAAGCCGAATGGTGGGTGCCAGGGGCTGGGGGAGAAGGATGGGGAGTGAGTGTTTAATGTGGGCAGAGTTTCGGTTCGGGAAGATGAAAAGTCCCGGAGGTGGATGGTGGGAATTGTTGCTCAACAGTGCAAATACACTTAATGCCACTGAACTGGGCACCTAAAATGGGAAATTTCATTTATTATGTGTATTTTACCACAAATAAAAGAAATATCAAGGGGGTGGGGATTGGTGAAACTGGTGAAGGGGGTGAAAAGATACAGATTTCCAGTTATAAAATAACTAAGTCCAGGAGGAGTCACGCACAGCATGGCGGCTGAAGCCACCGGTGTTGTACGGTGTATTTGAAAGGTGCTAAGAGAGTAGATCTCTGAACAGTTTTCACCACAAGAGGAAAAAAAATTTGTAACTGTGTACAGTAAAGGATATTAACTAGACTTATTGTAGTAATCATTTTGCAATATATGCAAATATCAAATCAGTTTCGATTACTCGTTAAGGCACATACCCAAGTTGCAGGTTCAGTCCTTGGTTGGGGCATGTTCATGAGGCAACTGATCAATGATTCACATCGATGCTTCTCTCTCTCTCTCTATTTCTCTCTCTCTCTTTCTCTCTATTTCTCTTCTACACCTTTACTCCCTCCCTCCCTTCCTTCCCCTCTCTCTAAAGGCAAAGATAGAAAGTGCCCTTGGGTAAGGATAAAAAAAAATTTTTTTGACATCATATTGAACATACAGTTTTGTTTCCTTAGTAGTTAACATTCCCCTTTAGCATCTTTCATGTAATTAGAAATTCTTCATAAGCATAAGCATAAAAAGTGAAGTCACATGGGAAAAAATGGATGAATTTGCCTTTTTCAAAATTGAGATATGCCGCCCGTATTTCTGTTGATGAATTTCATCCATATTGATACAAGTTGCTCTAATTCACTCAGTTTCATGGCTCTGTCCTGCAGCATTATACACATTAATTTGCTACAATTATTTGTCCCTTCTCCCATGGATGAACAGTTATGTAGTTTCCAATTTTTTTATTTTAGAGAGAGGAAGGGAGAAGGAGAGACAAAGAGACAGAGAGAAATACATTGATTTGTTGTATGTGCCCTGACTGGGGATGGAACCCGCAACCTTGGTGCACTGGGACAACACTAACCAACTGAGCTACCTGGGCTATGGTTTCCAATTTTGTGGTTTCAGTGGCTCCAAAAAACGTCTTATACCACCATTCTTTTTTTAATGTTATTTTTTTGATATTTGTTTTTAAATAAATAGTTCACATGGTTCCAAATTGAAGAGGTACAAAACGGTTTTGAGGACAAGTCCCCCCTCTGCCTCTGACACTGAATCCCTGAATTCAAAACAGGTTCATGGTTTAGTGGTTCCTCAAAAAAATTAAACATAGAATTACCCCATGATCCAGCAGTTGCACTTCGGGGTATATACTCAAAAGAAAGCAAGGACTTAAAGAGATACTTGTGCAACCTTGTTCATGGCAGCATGATTCACAATAAACAAGAGGTGGAAGCCATCGTGTTCATCGAGGGATGAATGGATAAACGCAATGTGACATACCCCCACTGTAGAATATTAAACTGCTTAAAAAAATAAAATTCTGACACATGCTACACTATGGGTGAACCTTGAAAATATTATGCTAAGTGAAGTAAGCCAGATAACCAAATTCCAGGTATTTTATTCATGGAGAGTTAGCATTTAATGGGTACAGAGTTTCTTGCACTTAATGCCACTGGATCATACAACCTAAAAATGGTCAATTTTATGGTATGTGCATTTTACCACAATTTAAAAAACAGAATTATGCAGTGCCTCCTGTGTGCTGTATTCTAGCCCTAGGGAGTTAGCCATGAACAAAACACAGCTCTGCCCTGGAGGAGCTGACACAAAACAGATAAACACTAAGACGTAGGATTTATGGTCTGTTGGAAGGTGGTAAGTACTAGGGACAGAAGAAGTTGACAGGTAGGGGGCACGGGGCATGGAGTGTGACTTTTCTTGGCACCCAGCATCATTCCAGGCACCCAGCAGGAGCCGCCAGTATGTGTTGCCTCTGAGGAACTGTGGGCCGAGGGCTCCCTCCTGTGGCCACAAAAAAAAGCAAGTTGTATTACCCAGTTTCCACATCGTGTTTTCTGATGGGTTCTGCCAGTGGGGAAGGCTGGCAGGGGACCAGAGGTGGAAGACCAACAAAAAGGGGTACCTGTTCCCCCCACCTCCTCCTGACCCAGTCAGGCAGTGGCTGTGTCTCTCTGTGGCCACATATCCTTCGGGAAGTTCCCTCCTCACAGCCCTTAGCCCTGGACTCAGTCACAGCTCCCCACTGCTGCTAGTTCTTGGGTGTCTCCCTGGGCAAAATAACAAGCCCCACCCCTGAAGAACCCATGACTATGTTATGCTACATAGCAATGTAGGATTAGGGTTGCAGATGGAATTGAGGATGCTCATCAGCTGACCTTAAAATAGGGAGACAAACCTAGAGAACGCAATGTAGTGACAAAGGTGCTTGAAAGTAGAAGGAGGAGACAGAAAAAGAAGTTGGAGTGAGGTAATTCAAGGACTTCACTCATATTTGTCAGCTTTGAAGATGGAGGAAGGGGCCGTGAGCCGAGGAAGGCAGGCCTCCCCTAGAAGCTGGAAAAGACAAAGCAGCAGTCCTACCCAGAGCAACCTGCAGAAGGATCTCAGCCTGGCCAATGTCGTCATTTAGCTTGGTGTGACTTCTGACCTGCAGAACTAGAAGATAATACACTTGCGTTGAAGCTACTAAGTTTGTGGCACTTTGTTACAGCAGCTATAGCAAACTAATACACTCAACCTGTTTGTTCACTTTCCAACCCTGCTCACACCACTGACCCCAGTCCCTCCACTCTTTTGAGTGGAATTCTGTTTCCCACTGAGCAGTCCTGCTTCTGGGAATTTCTCCTCCATGTGGGAAGTCTATCCTCATGGGAAATGGTACACAGAAGGACATTTCTTGTGGCATTGCTTGAAAAAGTGAAGATCGGAGGAAACCCGAATGTTTATCAAAAAGGGCTGGTGAAGTAAGTGCTGGGATGTGCACACACTGCAGCTTTCCATGCAGGGAAGAAAGGACGAGGAAGCACTGCAGACTATACTGTTCAGTAAAAAAAAACAAGACGCGTTTCAGGGTGTACAGTGGGCTGCTCTTTGTGGAAAAAGAAGGGAAAGGGATAAGATTAATTTGATTTTACAAAAAGAAACCTTGAAAAGTCACAAGAAACCATAAATGGTAGGTTCCAGATGTCAGGAGCAGGGAACCAGCTGGGTGGAGGATGAGTAGAGAGGGAAGTGCTTCACTGTGAATCCCTTAATAGCATTTGGTGTTGTTTTTGTTTTTGTTTTTCCAAGCTATGTACATCCATGGTTTCTTTGAAACAGTTTTTCTAAGTATGGCAGTTCTTTCCCGCATGAAATGAGGGAAGCTTTGAAAAGGGGGAGAGAAAAAAAAGGCACTTGTGAGTTAGAAAGTCACAGACAGATTATCTTTCTATGATTAGATTAGAAGAAAAATGAAGAACCCCTGGGAAGAAGCAAGTTTTCCAGGTTCAGGCATTTGATGAGATATTCAGTTACTGTGCATTCCCATTGTTTTTCCATGGCAGAACAGATGACAGGGACTTGGCAGCGCGCATGCCTGAAGCGAGGCTACTCTTAGGTCCTCTATCCAGATTGCTTGCTGGGCTGTTCTTGCCACAGTAGTGGGCTGTGCCCCAGACAAATGGGGTGCTGGTCTGCTCCCACAAATCTTTATCCCAGTCTTCATCGCAAGGAGGTCACTGCCACGCACTCTCAGCCAGAGTCTCTCATCCAAGGTTTCTGGCTTGATTGACGACAACTTGCTCTTTACAACTTTTGTCATCATAGCTTGAGATATGATGGCTGATTTCAGTCTGAGGAACTTGATGGTGAGCTATGAAGGGACAAGTAGCCAATTTGCTTGTGATATCTGGATGATTCTTTTTGCACTTGATAAGAAACCTGCAGGCCCTGATCTGTTTGTTTGTTTGTTTGTTTGTTTTTAATCATAGGGACATTTTAACAGCTTTTCAGGGTCCAGGGAATCAATGTTTCTTCCATGTTGGAAGTGAAGGAGCCAAATCCAAGTGCTGAGTCGAGACACGCTCTCCACAGTCGCCTCCAGCCCGTATCCGAGCTCCAGCAACCAGCATTTGGTGTTTTAAATCCTGTGTCCTGCTGGGCCCAGAGCTAGGGTGAGGCAGGGGAGGCATGAAAGCAGAGGGCGTCAAAACACTCTGTAACCAAGATACACTTTAATGCAATACTTTCAAAAAGCACAATGAACACAAAAGCCCATGATGAACAAAAGATTGACATTTTAGGAATAGTTGCAGTGCCGAGTTACAGAAAAGCCTGAGGCAAAAGGAAAAATTGGGAATATGGGGTATCTTTGAAAGGTTTCACAGTAAAGAATTAAAAAGCTGGCAACCCTGGATGGGCGAGGTTTATCCAAGGCCTTAGGAAGCCTCCGGATCCCAGGCCCTCCAGATCCCCTGCCTGCCTTTCTCATCCGTGTGAAAAGCATCAGGTGATGTAGCTCACGACTGCCCCCTCATGGGGATCAGTTGGGACATAACAGCATTCTGGGGCACTTAGGTTTGGCAAATGTTTACTAGGACCCCATGCGGGCACTGGAAATATCTCAGGACAAAGAAAGACTCCATTTATGCCCTGGTGTTGTTCACAGCATAATGGACACAATGCACAGGTTGGCAAAGCCAGACACCTGGACAGGTAAAGCATACAGTCTGGCTGGTGAGGAGGGGCAGCTCAGAAGGCTGGTGGAGAGCCTCCGATGGCACCAAGCTCTGGCCTTCGTGACAAGCAGCTGCTGGGGGTGGTGACCCCCATGTGGGGCTGGCAGAGGATTTCACTGGTTTGGTGTTTCATGTCTTAAGTTGGTATGTCATTGCTCATTGTACTATTCTTGGCCTTTCCCGGGGCCCAAATATTTCATTACCTTTTTAAAGGAGCCCCATGGGAAGACACTATGGGGGTGTTTAGGCAGAGGGACAGGCATGCCCCAAGGCCACTTTTGTCTGAGCACAGAAGTGCCAGGCACCTGCTTGCTTGCAGCACCCACCTCCTTTCATCACAAGCCTGGGAGGAAGGCACTACCGTCACTCCCATTGCACAGATGGGGCACTGAGGCTTATAAGCCACCCAAACTCACACTGACATAGAAATTTCAAGTGCTCACAGATGGGCAAGGCAAGGAAGGCGCAGGCAAGAGGAAGAGGAGGGGGACACAAGGTAAGGGCAGGGAGGTTACTGGGCAGATGGTGCAGGAGCCTTGGGAGGGTTCTGGCTTCCGCTGAGGGACATACCTGACTTGTGTTCACAGGCACCCTCTGGCCACCGCATTTTGGGGTCTGGTGTGCGGCAGGTGCCCAGGCCAGGGGTGACCCTGGAGGCCACGTGGCCAAAGAGCAGCGGTCAGACTGAAGGTGTTTTGGAGGCAGAGCTGCTCCTATCGGAGGTCAGACACAGCGAGGGAGACCGAAAGGAGTAAGCTAAGCCAAAGACTGAGAGGCGAGAGGCAGGTAACTCTGATGGAGAACGGACCAGCATGTGTCTGTAGCACAGCAGTTGCCCAGAGAGCTGGAGAGCGAAGTGTGGAACTCAGGGGCTCAGCCACCGCCACTCACAGGTGCCCCCCGGCCCCAGAAGAGCTGTGCCAACAGCCCTTGCAACGCCATACAGAGCATCTGAAATCCTTTATTGGAAGATCACTGCTGTTTACCATATAGACGACTAGACAGCTGACAGTGGAAACAGCCCACAGTGACTGGAGCAGGTCCCTCGGCCAGGGACCCTCCCCCCCTCCCCCGTGGATCAGCCTAACCAGCTCCGCCCGCCCCCGCCCCCAGACCCCTGGGCCTTTGGCATAATGCTGATGGGGGAGCTGCAGGCAGTGGAGCCCCTCAACTCAAAGCGAGACTTGGATGAGTGCTGGGAGGCGGGGGCACAGGGTGGGTCTCTCAGGCGGGGGGTTGGGGAGTGAAGGAAGCCAGGAGCTGGGACAATGGCATCTATTTTCGTTTTCTGAAAAGGGGTGCACAGAAGCCTGCAGGCAGGCAGGCGGCAGCTGAGGCAGGTCACGCGCTGACATCCTTCTCATCTGGCTTGTTTGCTTCCAGCAAGGGGTCCCCAGGGCCTGCCTCCTCGCCATCCTTGGCCTCACTGGACTTGGAGTTGGGGACCCAGAGTCCTGAGTCGATGCAGCGCTGCATGTGGTACTTCGCGTCCTAGAGGGAGAAAGGCAGACAGGTGAGGCCAAGCTACCACCTCCAGCTGGCCCGCCTGTCTCCTGCTCATCCTAAAGCCTGCTTACCGCGTATTCTAGATCAGAGCTGCCCAAAAAGACAGCCTGCAATAATGGAAAGAGTCCATAATCTGCTCTGGCTGACATGGTGGCCGCCGGCCACATGTGGCTACCAAGTACATCAAATGTGGTAGTGTAGATTTTCGATTTTCTTTAACTTTAAATCAAATTTAAATTGTGTATGTCTAGAAGGGTCAGCAAACATTTTTGTAAAGGGCCAGATTAAAGTTTTTTGGCTTGCAGGACACAATGACTCAGTCTATCACTCCTCAACTCCATGGTTGGTTCTAGCACAAAATCAGTCATAAACGATGTGAAAATCAATGAGCGTGGCCTCTGCGCACCAATGACAGGCAGTGAAGCTGCCAGCCAGAGTTTGAAGACCCTTGGCCTACATGATCATTCCCCACAGAAGCTTCTAGAAATCCCAGAAAAGACCATCTGACTGGACCCATCTTACAGACGAGAACTGGCCAACGAGTAAGCCAACTGGCAGGAATGGGGTCAAACCAAGCTCTGTTAAGGCTCATCTCCCACCACTTACAATGACAGCCAACATTTACCAGCATCTACTGTGTGCCCGGCCCCAGCCCCAATCATCTGGCCAGTTAATTACAGGAGAGAATCTGTGGTTTGATGGGGTAACTGATGCTGGGGAGGAAGCCCCTCCTTGGGCCAGATGGGGGCCATAGGTATGTAGGCTGCGCTCGTAAGTGGACCACGGTGACAGTGACACGGACACTCCGTCTGGATGCCAGACACACAGTAGATGCTCAGTGAGTGTTGAGTGTGTGACACCTGACTGCCTCACGTGCCGGCCACACAGTGACCGGGTCTCCCTTATTCCTCCCAGAAGCCTCGGAGAGCCTTCTGCCAGCAACACGGAGAGCTGGGCTAGAGCGGAGCCGGGGGACACACTGCTGGCCCCGCCGCTCAGCATGGCCAGGGGGTGGCCTGGGGCAGATACCTACAGTGGGGTCCATCTTGCTAATGGCGTCTTGGAGCATCTGCACGTCCTTCACATCAAAGCATTTCTGGAGTTCCTGTGGAGGCAGAGGGGCTCAGGTCAGGGCCGGGGTCCCCAGGGCCCTGGGGGTCCTGCTGGCTACCTGCCTGCCGCCTGCCTGGGGCTGCGGCTCCGCACCTCAGGGAGAGACTCGTAGACCTCCACAGGGTCCAAGCCACCAGGGCCAAGCCGCTTCTTGCGTTCCTCCTCCTCGTACTCCTTCATGGCCTTCTCGATGCGCAGCTTGGCGCGGCCCCGCACCCGCTCCTTGAAGGCCTCCAGCTCATCGTTGAAGCCCTCCATGTACTGGCGGTCAGCTGTCTGTGGGGAGCAGGAGACCAGGGGGGTTTGCTGGGCAGGACTGAGGGACCCAGGACCCTCCTGCTGCCGGTCCTCAGAGACACGGGCTTGGGCTTGGGGCTTGGGCTTCTTCTCTGCTCCATCTAGTCTCCACCTCTAAGCTCAGACTTTACCACCTACGTAGGCTGACCTCAAAAGTATTGCGGTTCGGTTCCAGACCACTGCAATACAGTATCGCAGTAAAGCAAAGTCACATGAACAGCTGGTTCCACAGTGCACATAAAAGTTACGTTTACAATATATGGTAGTCTAAGTATGCAATAGCATTATGTCTAAAAAAATGTACATACCTTAATTAAAAGATATTTAATTGCTAAAAAATGCTAACCATCATCTGAGCCTTCAGCGAGTCGTAATCTTTTTGCTGGTCTTGCCCTAGTAACATCAAAGATCACTGATCACAGATCACTCTAACAAATGTTGTAATAATGAAAAACACACAATACCTGCTAAGTACGATAAAGTGAAATGCAATAAAACGAGGTGCGCCTGTGTGCGAATGACCACCTGCTTGCATGTCCCCCTGAACTGCAGACTCTGACACCCACTTTCTCAATGTCCTCCTGTGGGGATTTTCATAGGCACCTCAAACGCGACACAGCCCCTCCTGAACTCCGGACCCTGCCCCCCACCGCCGCGTCCCAGCCTGCCTTGCCCTTGGTCTCCTCAGCCCAGCATGGGGAGCTCAGCTCTTCCAGGTGCCCAGGGTAAGAAACCTGGAGGTGTCCTTGCCTCTGTCCCTCACCCTCTTTCAAACTCTGTCCAGAAGCCACCACTTCTCATCTCCTCTGTGGCTCGGCCCTCTCCCGTGTAAGGTTCTGATCACAGAGGCCCGGGTCCTGGAGGACCACCCCTCACCTCACCAGAGCTGCTCAGGGCCTCTACCTTGATCTTAGTGAAGAACTGCCGGAAGCAGGCACGGGGGTCCACCTTCAGGCTCTTGGCCAGCTCCAGGATGAACTGCATGACGATGGTCTGGTGGGCCACTTGCTCCATGAGTGCACATTTCTGCCATGGGAGAACCGGCACAGCGTCGTCACATGGTGGCCTGAGCATGGAGCCTGTCCCCAGCCCCGGGGCATGCCCCACTGACCTCCTCAACCTCCAGGTCAATGCACCAGATGACCAGGTAGTTGGCTGTCTCCTCACAAACCAGGTGAGAGTTATCTGACAGGTACTTCTGGCTGTCATCCCAGCGGTGAAGCATGCCTACGACAAGGTGTGGACAGGGTGCTGGAAGGACCCAGAGGAAAGGAGCCAGTCCCTGTCACGTGCACCACCCCAGGCCCCCGCTGGTGGCCCCCTGCGCCCAACTCACCAAAGTGCTTAATCTGTTTCTCGTACTTCTCCACAAAGGTCTTGTGTTTCTGCTCCCTCGCCTCCTCCGACTCCTCCTCCACCTGTTCGGGCTTGGTATTGACCATGCTCTGTGGTGGGGCGAGAGGGGGAGTTGGCTGGGGTGAGGCCTCGGAGTGCCTCAAACGGGGCCGGGCGGGCCGTGGCCGCAGTGCCCATCCCATCCACGGCGGAGGTGGTGATGGCGCCATGAACATCAATGTGGCGGGAGCATGAGCGTGGCACGTGCGGCCTCGGACTAGGGCCTTCGGGCAGATCAGAAGGGGATCGGTGGGGTGCTTCATCCGCTTGGCACCCCTGCTCCTTCCACACCCCCATCCCTCCCTCCCTTGACCTGTGCAGTCCTCAACCACCCCCGGCCTGCCAATGGCCACCGAGCCCTCTCAGGGGCGAGTCCCCACCAGGGCCCCCCGGCATACCTTGCTGAAGCCGTCTTTGCTGAGCGTGTCCACGTTCCAGGGCATGCTCTTCTCCTTCTTGCGCATCTCCTCCATCTTCTGCTCCCAGCTCCGCTCCTCCTTGCGCAGCTGCTGAGCCTCGGCCTGTAGCCGCTCCAGCTCCGCCTTGCTGCCCTCACCCTCAGCCACCTCCAGCTCCTTCAGCTTGCGCTGGCACTCGGCCAGCTTGCGCTTGCACTCGCGGCAGCTCCTGTCCAGCTCCTCCTTTTCCTTCTGGAACTGCTCCATGCGCTCTACCCGGGCCTGTGGGTGGGAATGGCCCATCACTCTGGGGAAGAGTCTGTCCACTGACCCTGGCCCCAACCCAGCCAACGGCTTCCAGGATACACCTGGGATGGTCAGGAGGAATGTCTGCACCAACCTGTGCCCTGGATGCCCAGCTTCCACACTCACCCCCACAGGTACCTATGCATCCTTGATAGCGCAGGTCCCTCCACTGCTCAGAACCCTTCAAGGCTCCCACCTCACTCAGAGCAAAAGTCCAAGTCCTCCCCGAAGCCCAGAAGTCCCTACACGATCTGCCCCATCACCTCCATGCCTTTACCTCCCCTCGCTCCCCCTCCCTCCAGCCACACTGTCTGCCTTATGTTTTCTTTCAAACCTTGGGGCCTTTGCACCTGCCATTCCCTCAGCCTGGAACGCTCTCTACCCAGGTTCCCACACAGCTCACTCCCTCACATCCTTACCATTTTCACTCAGATGTTGCCTTAGAGGTGAAGCCTTCCCTGATCACCTTACTGAAGATCAAGCCTCCCCTTACTTTTGCCCTGCTTTATCTTTCTTCTCAGCACATGTCACCTGCTAACATGCAGTGACAGTTGTTTATCGTGTTTTGGGTGCTGTCCCTCTCCAAGGATATTGGCTCCATGCAGGTGAGGATAGGTCTATTTACTAGTATATGGGAGGGGCTCAGGAAATGCTTCCTGGATGAACAGCGACCCTCCCCCAGGGTCTCAGGCTCCCCCCTCTTCCTCAGTCTGTCTCGGCAACACTAGGGCTCCATCCTCTGTCCGTCGGCCCTCTTAATCCACCTCTATGTGTGTGTCCCCAAAGCCTGGTCTCCTGCCCGGTCCTCGCCCAATGAAGCCACTCCCATGCCGTCTCCTGCTCCCTCTGAGGTCTGCTCACTGGCCCCTCACCTGCCCTCCTGCTCTGGCACCAAGTGCCGATGGTTTTCACTCTTAGTTGGTTCTCTAGTTCACGCCACTGCAAGTCTTGAGTCTGGATCACTAACAAGGCCCCTCAGCTCTGTCTCCAGGACGGCATGCCCTCCTGAGCCCCAGCTGGGTGCCCAAGAGCCTCCTGTCCCCCAGCCCTGGATGCTGTACCCCAAATGTCCACTGCCACTGTGCCCTAAGCTTAGTGACGGCACCCATCTCACCACCCCCCCTCGCTCAGTCCCACTCGTACCCGTCCGATCACCCGGCCCGGCCTGCTCTCCGGCCCTGCCGGGCTCCGCCATCATCTTCCTGGGCTCCTGGCAGTGCCTGCTCAATCCAGGGCAACACTACCTTCCACTGCTGTCCCCCCAAATCCAGGCTCAGGGGCTGAAAGGGGAGTCTTTGAAACATACACATCTGACTGCAGCTTTTCGCACCACCCCAACCTGGAGCGTACGGGTTCAGATGGGACCCCTGACCCCTGCTCCCAGCTGCCCAGCTGGCAGCAAGGCCCCGGGCAGGACTGGGTGCCGCCCCCCTCTCCCAGCTCTGGGTCCCAGGCAAATGTTGGCCCCTGTGGTTCCCCAAATGCACTACTCCTCCCCTGCCTTCTGGCCTCCACACATGCTGTCCCCTCCACCTGCTGTCCCCTCCACCCGCACCTCTCCTCCCCGTACTCCATTGGCTTTGCCCAGGTCTCAGCTTTGACAGGGCCTTCCCCAAGTGCCCTCCAAAGCATCAGCATCACAGGGGGGTCCCAAAGGCCCCTCTGTGATCATCAGATAATGTGAGAATATGCTGGAGGACAGCCTCGGAGCCCCAGAACTGGGGTCACATTCTGAGGTCACTGTGTACTGCCTGGGTGTCCCCGGGCCTGATCCCTGAACCCCTCATAGCCTGTTTCCTCATCTGTCAAATGTAGACAACACAGACCTCATGAGACTGCACTAGGAGAAGCAAAGATTATAAATTAAAGCAAACAGTCTAGGGCTGTGGACGCACAGCAAGCACCATACCCACGTTGGCTACTATCATTACTGTCTGTCCAAGGGGATATTCGTTCTCTGAGGAATATTCTGGGGTTCAAATGAGGAAATGTACTTCGAGTGCTTAGTTTGATTTCTGGCTCAGAGTAAGGGCTCATTAACTGGGAATGGTCGTTACTGCATCGTCACAGCAGGCAGCCCCGCCACTTTTCCTGGTGACATGACCTTGGCCAAGTCCCTTAAACCTCTCCTGCCTTGGCTTTCCCCTCTGTGAAATGAGGCCTCACAGGGTTGCTGTGAGGACTAAATAAATGACTCCACAGCAACTGCTTGCAACACAGCGCACGGTGTCTCACTGTTACCATCGTTGTTGTGGCTACTGCCACCAGAGTGGTCTGCTAACTTGCTTCTGTGCCCATCTGAGGCTGTATCTCCAGGTTCTAGCCCAGGGCCAGGCACACAGTGGGCGAGAATCGAGAAACCCGGGCCCTTCTCTGGTACTTCAGAGGACTGACACGGCCAATCCTGGGCCTCACTGTCCCCACGCAGACAGGGGTCCAGGAGGCCCTAGCCTCAAGGAGGGGTAAGAAAAAAAAAAAAAGCCCTGGCCTCTGTAACCTCTCTTTCTCCACAAGGGCCTGTGTCGCCCTGGAGACTTCTTGCGGACCTGTGAGGGGCTCTCACGTGGGCATTATGGCTAGACTTAGGCAGCAGCAGAAACCCACCACCCTGCTGGTCTCTGCTGGGCAGCCATCAAGCTCTTCCCGGTGTCCTCTGAGTGGCCACCAGGGAAGCCAAAGCTAAATAAAGGCGTCCCAGAGCTGGCAGGGCAGCCTGCCTGGCCCAGGCTTTACACCCTCACCAGGCTGGGCCTGGCAGAAGCCATGGCAGTGGGCGGGGCTGCCCCCTACATTACAGATGGGGAAACCAAGGCTCACAGGTCTGAATATGGCACAACTCACTGGAAGGAGCCACAGGAAACTAGTGGCGGGTGACTAAGCAAGGGAGCTGAGGGGCTAGGACTCACCTATTCCCTTCTGGAACCTTTGGAAGATTTTTTTTTTTTTAAACTGTGCGAGTGAATCACCTAAATAATCATGATAAAGATAGTGGCCAAAGTTTACAGAGAGCTTTCACATGCCAGGTACCGTGCCCAAAGCCCAAATAACACATTCAATAAATAAGGCAGCCCTCACAACAATCCTATGGGATTGACACTATTAATATTCCCAGGTGGGGAAACTGAGGCACCAAGAGATCAAACAATTCGCTGGAAGTCATGCAGCCAGTCAGTGTTCAGGAGCCAGGATGTGAACAAAGGTGAGACGGCCTGCACTCAGCAGCTCACCAGGCTGCCCTTTGACAAACTCCATCTCCCTCCACAGGGCCTGAGCCAAGCTCTTTTCAGATCTAACCTCATCTCATTGGGCTGGGATTAGAACCCAAGCTTGCTGGAGACACTGAGGCCCCTTGGCTCCACTACAGTCCAGGCTCTCAATGGCTGGACAGGAAAAGGTTCTGTGCCAACCGGAGGAGGGAGAAGGGAAGAGGGAGGGGAGAGGAGGAAGCTGCTACAGTACAGAGGGGGCCTCCCACCCAGCAGAACCAAAACGGTCTCCACAAGCAGTAAAGATCTAACTTCTTTATGGGACAGATATATGAATACCCAAGAAGAATCTTTAACACTTTGTGGCGATCTTAACTATTTCATCATAAATGTCATATGTGACAAGTGAAATGGATATGTGATATGTGAAATGGAAGTGCTAGAACTTTCTTACACTCTAGTGGCTTGCCCAGCAGATATACTACTGCTTTAAGGAATGGATTCGAAATGGGGCTGGGGAGATGTAGGGACTAACGCCTTGGCAGGATGGGAAAGGGCCCTCCTAGGACTTTCTGAATAAATGACTAGTAGGGGTGGCCATATGGGAATACAGGAGGGTGGGGTGGAGCATTCCTAACTAGAAGATTCTGAGAGGTACACACCCTCAGTTTCAGAGTATAACAAGCACAGCTTTGTGGATGCAGCAGCTCTGATTTGGGAGAGCAGGAGGTTAAAACATTTAGGACCTATGAGAGCTCTTCTATTGGTCTGTGAGCACTGCTGGACAAGGAGAGGCAGGGGAACACTTAGACTAGTGATTCTGGGGTCTGGATATGGGGGCAAATAGATAGAAGAAGGAGCAGTGAATTTGGAATCAGGCTGGGAGAGAGTTGCTGTTGAGAGCACGGACAATTTGGGTGTCTGAGAGCTGCAGACCAGGCTGGGGTTAGGCGGAAGGTGCTGTGGGTTTGGATGAGGTGTTCCGATGCTGGTAGAGGTTCCTACAGGAAGCTGGCCTTGGGGGGTGGGCGGTGCCTGAGTCTGCAATACCAAGTAGCAGGACGGGCTTTGACTGGCAGGGAAGTAATCAAAATAGGGTTTGCTGGTGTCACTGGAAATGGGGCGTATAGTAGGCGAGGCAAAAGGAAAACGGCTGGAATAGGAAGGCTCCATCAGGATTGAGCTGCTAATTTGGTCTGGAGGGAAACTGGGTTCCAAAACTCCAGTCCTAGTTGGGACTGAGTACCTTAGTGGGGGAAGAGGTCGTGGGTGCGGGGTGGCGTCCCAAGTCAGGAACAGAAATCCCAAGGGAAGCCAGAGTTCTCTTTTCTGTTTGGAGGAGTGGGATCTCTGGATCTGAATAGGAATCACCCTCAAACCCAGGGAAGCACATCGCAGAACAGATTCAAAGTTATTAGGGACTCTAGGAACTAGGGAGGGCTAATGGAATATCCAAGACCAGAAGTGGGTACCCGAACAGGATCAGGGTCCAGACTCTGAGCCAGAGTTGTGGGTTTAAGTTGAAGGTCCCAGGTGGGACTACGGGACACCCCCAAAGTTTGTCTTGGAAAGTCTAGACTATGAGAAAGATGCCCTAGGGGGTCCTGGCAGCTCTGAGGTCACAGAGTTGAGTCCCGGGAAATATTAAAAGTCCAGACTGTTTGGTGGGAATCCCAGGTGTCAATGGCGGGTCCCTGGAAATAGAAAGGATCAGAACTCTGCAGCGGAGTCCCGGGAGGTGGGGGAGGGAAGAGGCTGGGCACGCGTTCTCTACCTGGTGCCGCCAGCGGAAGAGACTGGCCGTGTCGATGTTGGGGTGCGTCTCATCTTCATCGTCAGACACCTCGATGTGGTCCCACACGCTGTAGTCCACCATCTTGTTCTGTGGCCCAGCCCGCTCCGGCTCCGAAAGCGGCAGTGGCGGTGGCAGTACTGTCTCAATCTTGGCCCGCGGAGCCCCGCCCCTTCCGCTTCCGCCGGGACGCGCACGCCCCGCCCTCGATTGACGTCACGTCCTTAGTAACTGTGGCGGCGGCGCTGGAGACCGAGTTTATCTTAAAGGGCCTTGAGCTAGTGTTCCGCCCTCCGGGAGCCCCAGCGAAAACAGCGGTATCCGGCGTGGGGTCCCGGCTAGGCACCTCCTGGGGGTAAACGGGCGGGCGCCCCAACCTAGCGCACCCCTCACCTCCCGCTGCCTCACTGTGGAAGTTTGCGGCAGCTGCAGGTGGGGGGCAGTTGATGAGACTAAGAGAAGGGTTTGTCCTCTTAGCCAAGCCTCAGTGACAGCCTGAACCTCGGCGAGGAGACCCGCCTCCTGCACCTTGTGAATCGGGATGGGATGTGATCTGAGGGGACCTTCCAAAAACGAGGGGTGCAGGACCCTGACTTGGAGACCTGCGACGGTTTAAGTGGAGGAGAGATACGAACATGCCCTTGATGAGGTCTGAGGTGGCCGCGATGTGGCCCTGACTTGGGCGGCTGGTATTTTCCCCACTCGGACCACAGCCTCCTTGTCCTGTTCCTATCTTCTGCCACTTCTGAGCGGGGATTCGCGTACACACTCGGTCTTGAATCACAGGGACCCCGTCACCACGGATCTCGGGAACGCGTCCTCCCCTGCGGCCGCTGGGTGTCGCTAATGTCTAGCCAGCGGCTAGTGCTCCAGGCCTGGCGCGAAGCGGGGGGTGGAGGGGTGGGAGGGGGGCGGGGATCGGGGAGGTGCGGCTGGGGGCTTTCCTCGTCGCGGTACTAGAGGACCTGCTCACAGCCTCCCTTCTGTCGTGTGCGGGCCCTCTTCCTACGCTGGGCTCTAATGATTCCATTAGTCTGAGCTTGGGCGACCCAGCAGCACTTTCGTAAATCCCAACCCACGCTTTGTAGCCCGGATAAAAGGTCGTGTTGCAGCCTAGGGCCAGGATTACCTCAGATTAAAGGCGCTCCGTGCGCGGCGGGTGGGATGGAAGGAGCTCCAGCCCTTGGAGTGAGGGGCGCCTCTTCCCAGACTCCCCCAGAGAGAGCGTCTGAACGGAGGAAGCTGGAGGGTATAGAGTAAAGGTCTCCAAACTGGGGGGATGCCCGGGCTGGGGGAAGGGGTGGGGCCATCCAGACAAAAGCGCCCGCCCCTTCACCTAGAGTTCCATTCAAACCCGCGAGTGGGCGGGCGGGAGCGCGGGAGTCCCCCTCCGCTCCTCCTCCCCCTCCAGCTGGGGCTGTCCAGCATCTCAGCGGCCGTCACGGCCCGGGCACACTTGCGCACGGACCCACACACCCCAGCGGGTCTCGTAATCGTGCGCACACACATACACACATACCCACATACCAGCAAATAAAGGGTTTGGACATCCCCGTTTCCCTCCCGCCGCCCCACTCTCCCGGCTGGAGAGGGCGGGGCATCCCCTCCCCCGCGCCCCCTGCAAGGTAAGCTTTCAGCTGCGAGCTGCGATGGGGAGGGGTACCCGGCACCCCGGAGGGAGGGGCCCAGGACGGTGGGGGCTTCTCCCGCTCCTCAAGAAAGACGGGGCACCCAGTACGTCCTCTGAGGGCTTCAGGCCTGTCTCCGGGCTGGGGGTGCGTGGGGAGGTCCTCTTAGGCGGGGGATTCCCAGGTAGGTGCGGCGTTGCGGGGGTGTCTCTCCCTGACTTGGAGACTGGAGCTGCCTGGCTCCAATTAAACAGGGTCCCAGAAGCCCCTGCTCCCAGAATTGGGGTCCGGGTGCCAGAAGCTCCCCATCAGCGCCAAGCTTTTTCTAATCTGCCAATACAGCATCGCCAGCCCTGGAGATAGAACTCTCCGAGTTGTTTTGCACTGTTCTTTGGTCTCTCCCCTCCCCCACCCCACCCTCAGCAGCGCATCCCCTGCTGTGTCTCTTGTATCTGTGAGGTGGGGGCGGGGCGGGGCTGGGAATGCTCCTCTGGGCTTTCCAAGTTTCCTTTGCAGCATTCCACAGCCACACGCTTTTAGCTGCAGTGGGACCTAGCAAACGGCTTTGCCTCCCTGGGCCTCAATTACCCTACCTGCAAAATGAGTAATGACACATGGAGGCACTGCTAGGTCATGCATGTGAGCCTGCCTTTGCTTTATTTCTTAGCTCATTTCACACCTTTTCCCCAAGTGCCTACTATGTGCCAGGGCACTGTAGCCAGGCTTTGGGGCTGCAGCAACTGAGACCAGCTGGGTTCCTGCTCTGCTGCCCCTCAAGACTGGTAAGGTAGCAAGATGAGTGTGTAAACAGAGATACAATGATTTCAAACTGTGAAGATTAAAATTTCATCAGGCATAGAGAGTGGCTGGGGTGGAGTGGTGGTGCTGGAGATTAAATGAGATTTCTGGTTTGTATCTGCTTTCCTTGTTCACTTCAGCTCCATGAGGGCAGGGCCAGGTCCTGATCCGTGTGCACTAAATGCTGAAAGGATTAAAGAGGGATTAGATTAAGACTTCCCATAGCATTTTAGATCAGGAAGGAGGCTTATCTGTGAACCAATCCATCCATCGATCCATCCATCCATCCCATTTTACATACAATGTAAAGTCCTTAAGACCCAGAGAGGGGAAAAGATGTGAAGTGTCATCATTCCCATAAAAGTGAGGATGGCTGAAGGAATGGTTGTCAATGGCTGGGAAAGGAAGAGAGGAGAGTAGAGACCAGACTTGGACACAGGGCCCTCCAGGAACCCATGATACCCAGCAAGCACCTACCTCTCTCTCCATACTTAGCAGATGCAGCCCTGCATTCATCCATTCAATGATTATTCAGCGCCTACAATATGCCAGGTGCTGGGGACAAAGCAATGTACAGAATAAAATTCTCTGCCCCTACAGAGCTCACATTTAGTGGGGGAAACAAACAAATAAATATATAACAACAAATTGTGATTAGGACATTTTGTGACAGGAGAGAAAAATGGAATGGTTCACTTTAGGTTGGATATCCAGGAAGACCTCCTGGAGTTGAATAACCATACACACGCATACACACTCCATCCAGACAAAAGTAATTGTATGAACGAACACTCTATACTGAAAACCTAAATAATGTGCCTGAGGTCACATAACTAGTGAGTGGCCGAGCAAAGATTTGAACCCAAGTTCAGCATTTCTAACCACTGTGAAAAGCTGCTTCCTGTAGCATCCACATACATGTACCTCCCCCCCTACACACACATACACTCATCACAGTCACAAAGACATACATCCAACTTCATGCCCACATAGAGTAATGGGGGGTCACCCTGTCACATACACTCCTACAGGTATGGTCTCAAATACACAAACTCGGACTTGTATAAAGTTCCACCCATCCAGTTTCACACACACAGCCATGTACAAAGTCTCATGCACACACATACTTGTGGCCTCTAAGTTTTCCCCAGCCCTGCTTCAGTACCAAGGATGGAGCTTCTCAGGCCTGGATGCTCAGGGCCAAGGTTTGGGCAAGGCCTTTATCCTCACTCCCTTCCCTCTTGTTGGCCACCCATCCCCACAGCCTGCTGAGGAAGGTGGAGGGTGGGTGGGATGTCAGGACCGGTGAAGCCAGCTCTCCTGTCCGGCTAGGCCAGGGGCTCCCAGGCTGGACTGCTGCTGATCAGCACTGACAAGTCAAGTGGGAGAAAAGGCCTCTCAGCCTGAACCTGGTGTCAAGTGCCCATAGCGGCCAGCTCTGCCATCTGGACCCTCCTCCCCAGACCGCCTGCTGCCCAGGGGAGGGAAAACGGGCTTAGAGGCTGATGTCCTGCCTCCTATGTTGAGCTTTCTGCCAGAACTGATTTCTGCAAATGTGCACAGGTGTCGGGACGGTGGTGGCCTACGTGTCTCGACTTCTCTTCCCTGGCCTGTGGGGCTCGTCCGGCTGTCCACCCCTCCGTTCCTCCCTCCATTCCACAAGTCCTTGAGCACCTACCCTGGCCTGTTCAAGGCACTGGGACTATAGCTAGGACTGGCTACAAAATTTGCAGAGCCTAGGGCAAGATGAAAATGCAGGGCCCCTGTTCAAAAATATGAAGACTTTCAAGAGGATGATAACAGTGCATTAAACCTTCTAAGCGTGGGGCTCTGTGGGACTGCACAGTTTGCATGGCCACGAACTGGTCCTTGATACAGCTAGAGAAAGACAGAAAAATCCACTGCCCTTGTGAAACTAAGGGGTTAGGGAGGACAGAAATATAAAGATATACTGTCAGGGGCAATGACAGCTAAGAAGAAAATAAAGCTGAGTGAGGGGCAAAGAGTGATATGTTTGGGGAGGCATCTATGTCAGGAAAGGATCTGGAAGGAGGTGACTGAGCAGAGACCCAAAGGAGTTGATGGAGTCAGCCAGATTTATTCATTTATTCAAGAGCTATTGCTGAGCACCTACTATAGGCTAGTATTTTCCTTGCAGGGGACAAAATAAACTAACATTTTGACCTCATGTCTTAATGAAAGGACAGGCAAAAGCTAATAAAAATAGGAGGTAAATTCTACGTCTTGTTAGAAAACTACAAGTCTAAAACAAAATAAAAGCAGAGTCAGGGAGATCAGTGGGGTTGGAGGGGCACAGGATATCTGAGGCTGGTTTTCTGGGTGGAGGCAAGAGCAAGTGCAAAGGGCCAGAGGTCTGAATATGCTTGGGAGTGTTTGAGAAACAGCAAGGAGGCTGGTAGGGCAAGGGGGAAGGAGGAAGTGAGGTCTTTGTGAATGTGTTGCTGTATTCTGTGTCTGTCTATAGCTTCACGTGAATCAACAACAGTGCTAATTGTTATTAGTACTATATAAACCAGTGGTTACTGTTTTGTGAGAACCTGCCATTTACCAGGCACTGTGCTCAGAACCTTGCATGCATTGCTTTACTTCATCTACACAATCCCCTCAAGTACGTATGAACATTATCCCCACTTTACAGACAAGGAAAATGAGGCTCAGAAAGGCTGGGTGACTTGCCCAAGGGTACACAGCTAATAAGTAGAAGAACCAGGATTTGAATGC